GCTACTGCTACTACTACTACTACTACTACTACTACAAAAACCCCCCACTAAGACTGCGACTACTATTTCTACTACGTAACAAAGAACTACTAGTACTACCAAGACGACGACGACGTCGACGACGACGACTACTACTACTAGTGCTACTACGACCATTAATACTACTACTGCGGCTACCACTATGGCTACGACTCCTACTACTACTACTACTACTATTACTACTACGACTACTGCTACTACTACTACTACTACTACTACTACTACTACTACTACTACGTCTGCCATGGCTACTATCACAAACACCACAGCGCATACTACGACTACTGCGACGACGACTACTACTACTACTACTACTACTACTACGACTACTACGGCCGCTACTACTTCTACTGCTACTACTACTGCTACTACTACTAGTACGGCGACCACGACGACTACTACTACTACTACGGCTGCGACTACTAATACGACTACGCCTACGACGACTAGTACAGCTACACCGACAACCTCTACTAGGACTACCACTACTACTACTACTACTACTTCTACGACTACTACTGCTACTACTACTACCTACCCACTACTACCACTACAAATGCTACGACTACTACCACCAAAACTTCTACTACTACTACGACTACGACAACAACAACAACTACTACTACTACTACTGCTACTACTTCTACTAATACTACTACTGCTACTACTACCACTACTGCTGCTACTACTACGACAACTACTGTTACAACTACATCTACTCCGACCACTACTACTACTACTACGCTACCACTACTACTACGACCAACCCTACGATTACTACTGCTACTACTAATACGTATACTGGTACTCGCCCTGCTGTCACTACTGATACTGCTACTACTGCGACTCGTACTTAAATTTCTGCTACTACTACGACTACTACTATTAATACAGGCCCCAATCCTACTACGACTACAACTGCGACCACGACTACGACTACTACTACTACGCTTATGACGAGGACTACTACTACTACTACTACTACTACTACTACTACGACTGCTACTACTACGCCTACTCCTACTACTACGACTACTGCTACTACTACAACTACTACTACTACTACTACTACTACTGCTACTACTACTACTACTACTAATGCTACCCTTACCCCTACTACTACTAATACGATTATTACTAGACATGCAAATACTAATACTACTACGACTACCCCGGCTACTGCTACTACTACTACTGCTACGACCAAAACCCCAACTAAGACTGCTACTACTACTTCTACTACGATACAAAAACACACTACTACGACTACTACTACTACCACGACGACGGCGACGTGGACGACGACGACGACTTCTACCACTACTGTTTGGCTACCATTACGACGACTACTACTAGTAGTACTACTACGACTGCAATTGCTACTACTACGACCACCACAACTAATACTACGACTACTACGACGACGACGGCTATTACTACTACTACTACTACTACTACTACTACTACTACTACTACTACTACTACTACTACTACTACTACTACGGCGACCCCGACGACTACTACTATTACGACTGCGACTACTGCAACGACTACGGCTACGACGACTACTACAGTTACGCCTACAACCTCTACTACGATTACGATACTACTAGTACTCGCCCTGCTATCACTACTACTACTGTTACTACTACTCCTCTTACTTCGACTGCTATTACTACTACTGAAACAACTACTACTACTACTACTACTACTACTACGACGCCCAATGCTACTACGACTACTGTTACAGCGACTTCTACGACGACCACTACTACGACTACTACTTCTACGCTTACAACGAGGACTACTACTACGGCTAATCATACCACTACTATTACAATACTATGACTAACGCTACTACGACCACCGACACTACTACTACTACTACTACTAATAATAATAATACTACTATCACTACTACTACTACTACTACTACTACTACTACTACTACTACTACTTCTACTAACTCTACTACGACTACGAATGCGACTACAACTACCACCAATACGGATACGACTACTAGTGCAATGCTACTACGACTACTACGACTTCTACGACTTGTAATGCGACTACTACTACTAACAACAACACAAACACTACAACTACTACTGCTTCGTTACTACTACCTGCAACTACTACTACTACTACTACTACTACTACGACGATGACTACTACCACTACTGATGCTACGACTACTACTACTACTACTACTACTACTACTACTACTACTGATACTGATACTACTACCACGACTACTACTACTACTACTACTACTACTACTACTACTGCTACTACTACTACTACTACTACTACCACTACTACTACTACTACAATTACTACTTCTACTACATCTACTACTCGTAGTACTACTACTACGACTACTACTACTACTACGACGACTACTACTACTACTACTACTATTACTACTACTACTACTACTACTACTACTACTACTACTACTACTACTACTACTACTACTACTACTACTAATACCACTACAAGTATTACGATTACTGCTGCTACTACTACTACTACTGCTGCTGCTACTCCTACTACTACTAAGAGATCGTTGTGCTGCGTTGTGTTGCGTTGTTCCCTTCCCCCCGCCAACCAGCGCCAGCCCCGGCTATTTTAACAACAACAACAACTACAATCATAGTAAGAGTGTTCGGTCTTCTCTGCTCGCGTGCCATTCGACACGTGTATCCAAAAACCTCGGTACCGCCTTCTTCGTCTTCGATCGTGCCCTTAAGGCAACGGGCACTTCCTGCAACGTGTCCTTCCTGCAACCCCTAAGGCATGGGGAAGAGAGGACGGACGAAAGGAAGGGACAAGGGGCCGGCGGGTTGCTGAAGCGTGCGTCGTCCTGCATGAATCGCGAGGAAGTCTAGAGCGATAACGCGACTCAAAAAATAAATCGTGAGCAAATCCACAGCGAGAGCGTGATTCCTGAGTGTCGAGGGTGCGGCGTCTGAACAGATTGGGAGGAAGACCCACGCGAGGGCGCGATTCCTGTACAAATTCTGCGGAAGTCCTGCGCGAGAGCGCGATTTGGAAACAAATTGTGAGGAAATATCAGGCGGGAGCCGTTGCTGTTGCTGTAATCCGGGTGCCACGGGCACAATTTGGTGGCACCTCTTTTTCCCTTGTAAAAACCGGGCGCGTGCCCCGGGAGAAGCCTTCAATTGAAAAAATTGTGACCCAACCGTACGCAAGTGTGAGAACCGCAGGGCAGGTGGGACGAAGCAAGGGGAATTCCCAATGGGCCGCGAACTGTATGAGGGGTGCGCCAAAATTGGGCGGGACCGCGCGAATTACGCCACATTCGCGCCCCCGAGGCAACGATCCCTCGTGACTTACGCCGCTCTCGCGCCCCCCAGGCCACGATCCCTCGTAAAATACACCGCATTCGCGTCCCCGAGGCCACGGTCCCCCGCAAATTACACCGAATTCGCGCGCACCGCCCACGCTACGAATCCACCTCGCGGAAGCTGCCAAAAGGCGCCACTCCTTCTCCAGAGCAGACAAAATAACCTTCCCAGAGATTGCCTGAAGCAATCCCCAGCCGTTCCCAGAGCGCTTCCAGTGAACAACTGGAGGAAAATGCCAAGAAGGCAACAACACGTTCAACAACAACTTCAACATCTCAATATGTTTTGCTCATCGCCAGCCGCCTTAGCATGACGTTCCCGAATGTCATCAAGACGGCGCCCGAACATCCCAATATGGCTCTGATGTATCCCATTCTGATGGAGAGGGGGGCGGCGGCAGGGGGCGAAGCCCTTACGGATCATCCTGTGGTGTTGGGTCCCCGTTTTGAAGAAATATCGCCCCGCGTCCCACCTCCTTCCTCCCGCCTCCTCCTCCCTCCTCCCATCCCTGCATCGGCCCTCTGTATGTCAACCACTGTGGCACACCCCTCACACGCTTCGTGGCCCCATGGGGAGCTCTAGCTAAAGTCTCAATGGTGCAATGCGCATGTGGGCGTCAACCCCATTGCCGCACACCCCTCACACGATTCGCTGCCCCATAAGGGAGATCCAACCAAGGCCCCAGTGGCGCAGTGCGCACGTGGGCGTCACCCCCTTTTCGCCACACCCCACACACGCTTCGTGGCCTCATAGGGAGCTCCACCCAAGGCCTCAGTGGCACAAATCGCACGTGGGGCGTCACCCCCATTTCGGCACACCCCTCAGACGCTTCGTGGCCCCAAAAAGGGTGCTCTACCACAGGCCCCAATGGCGCAGTTCGCATGTAGGCGTCACCCCCGTTTCGGCACACCCCTCACACGTTCCGTGGCCCCAGAAAGGGGGCTCTACTTCAGGCCCCAGTGGCAGCGCCCGCATCGTGGCCCTGCCCAATTTGGGCACACCCTTCAGACACTTCGTGGCCCCATAAGGAGATCCACCGAAGGCGATACTCACAACGACGGTCCTTCGCCAGGATAATTGATTTGACGATCGATTAATGTGAAGAGGCCACCCACCCCGCTTCATCCACCTGCTCCTCAACCTCACCCCTCTCCCCGTCGTCCGCCCTCATCTTCCATTCTGGGGCGCAGTGTCTTCCGATCCCCGTTGTTCATGCAGCTGCCCTTCTTCGTCCTTATGTCTCAATTAACCATCCTGCCCTCCTTAGACTCGTCCGACTATTCCTCGGATGCCCCTCTCCATGTAAGACGCCCAGCATACGCGCCTCATCGTTCCTCCTCCTCCTCCTCATCATCATCAGCATCAGCATCAGCATCAGCATCAGCATCATCATCATCATCATCATCATCATCATCATCATCATCATCATCATCCGCCTCCTGCTCTTACAAGGTATCACCACTCGTCTCTTCTGGCCACCCCTCCTCCCTTATCCCACTTCTTCGTACCCCCTACTGCGGCTGCTGCTGATCCTCTTCGTCTTCTCCATCCCAGTACCCACCACCGGAAAGGGAGTATCCAAGAGGGCGCCTGCAGATTGTTCTGGTCCACGAAGTCCTTGGCCTGGTGGACCATGACATCCTCAGCACCACAAAGAGACAGACATTGAAGTGAATCGATATACAGCCGCTGGGCTGAGCATACATCTATGGATGTGTTGAGCACTTGTCCCTCCCTCCCCCGATAATGTGCAGCATTGCACATACGCTGTCCGCATGCGTTCGGCAGGCGGGGAGTAAGTGCCTCATCGTTTGAAGACGAAGATGGCATTGCGGGCATTATCTGCCTGCCATAGGCGCTGGGTTGAGTGCCTTCAGATATCTTCGAATTCGCTGTGCAGGATACTCTCCAAACTTTTTAAGAGGCCCAAAGCTTTGTGTTCCAAGAGGCCCAAAGCCCAAAGTTCCAGGCACTCCCAAGCGCGCCAAAGCGCTCTTTTTTCCTCCCGCGTGACTCTTCCAAAGGCCTGGGGAGCGTGATACGGAATCCGCACTTCCAGGTCCAAGACGGCCCAGGAGGTCCCCCAAGATCGGCTCAAGACAGCCGCAAGGGGAACGGGGGAACACGAACTGACCTTTCGAGCCCGTCATTTCAAGATAGCCCTCGAGACCGCAAGCCAGCCCCCAAGAGGCCCGCGCCTAGGCGCCCAAGAGGCCCCCAGCCCCCAAGAGGCCCCCATCAAGAGTAAGACGAGCAAGGGTCAGCCCTCTTCCCCATCCCCCCCAGACCGTCCATGAGGAGTCTGCAACAAGGAATTCGCCCGCCCAACGGGCCAGAGGCGTGCTAAGATATCCGGTAACTACTTAACAATATTTCTAGTTCGCACGCGCGGGGCGGCCCCTGGGGGCCCCCGGACGGAAAGTACCCCGGACGATCCCCGGCCGGGTCCCGGGCGATCCCCAGAGGGGAGGCTATTTTTCGCCACCGCTCACGAGGATCGTGGCCTCCGAGGGGGTGGCTGCAATCGACTACCCTCCCTCCCGCCCCAAGGGGCCCCCAAGAGCCCCTAAGAGGCCCCAGGGGAGCCCAAGACGCCGCCAAGGAGCCCCAAGACGCTCCCAAGAAGCCCCAAGAGGCCCCCAAGACGGCCCCGGCCCCAAATAGCGCTCCAGGGCCGGCGGAATGAGCGAAGCGATTAAATAATGCACGTCGTTCGTTCCTATGGCGCTCAGTTCTGGCTGCGTTCATGATGGACCTGTCATGGCCCAGTGATGGCTACAAGGGGGCGGGAGCAGAACAGTCAGAACTGACAGACTATTGATTGGACCTTCGAGGTCAATCCTCCCTCAGAAGAATACTAACACGAGCGACGTGCATGTAGCTTCCCCTGGCCTCCGTGGCCATGGCCCCGCTCTTGGGCTAACCAGCTGGGGCTAGCTCAAACGGTGCCAGGACCCTCTGGAGCTGTGATTGAGCTGTGGAAGTTCAGCAGGATACTCCAATGCCCTTTGGAATGAGGAAGGGCAGCAGCAGGAGCGGCGCTGGAGGGAGGCAGGCGCAGGAGGAGGACAATGATCTGGCACTCGCCTCGGAAGCTCCCAGCGCGAGCCGATGCCCTCCCAAGGCAAGGTGCTTAGGCCCCTTTTGTCCTCAACGGGAAAAGGAGACAAGCTCCTGCTCAGAGCATCATGTCGTCATCGTCATCCTCATCGTCGACTTCGGCATACTCCAACTTCTCCCGCTCACGCCTCTGCTCTGCGTCCTCGGTGTCCTTACCGCTCTCCTCCGGATACGCCATCGCTTTCACCGACTCGTTACGCATCTGGAGGCAGAATGCGATGCGCTTGTGAAGAGCCTTCTGAGGCTCGCAAGAAGCGTAGATCTCCTGTCGCTGCCTCGACTTCACGAAAGCCCCTTCGTAATCGATGGTCGCATCGATGACCCCGTCCACGATAGCCTTGGCCACGACGCCGGCGGCATCCTGAGGGGTCTCCAGGCCCACGCTCCTGCCGCCCCCGCCAGACAGCTTCGTGCAGATGTCCTCCAGCGAGATGCGGCTGTACGACGAGCTGATGCTCCGCAGGCCCGCCTTGATGACGTTGTAGCGGAGGCGGTTGATCAGAGTTAAGGTCTTGTCCCTCTTGAAGAGGGCCTCGTGCTGTTGAACCACCTCCTTGAAGGAATTGAGATCTCCAGACCGCACCGCCTGGGTGATGGCGTAGTAGGGCCGGAGAGGCTCCTTCAACTCCTTCTGCATGAAAGTAGCGCGGTCTGGCACGCCACCCATGAGCAGCTCCACGATGATCGCGAGCTTATGAGCGCACAGCTTGAAACCGAGGGCAACGGTGGGAGACTGCGGCGACTTGCGAATTGCCTGCATCAGTTTGGAGTGCGAGTCGGAGTACTCCAGCTGGACGGCCTTGATCTGGCCGATGTACAGGAGGTAGCGCGCGTACTGCGCGCTGGGCCGCGACTCTGGAAAGGTCGTCTTCTGCACCAGCTTCAAGGCCTGCTCGTACAGGCTGTACGTCAGGTAGCTGCGCAGCAACAGGTTCAGCAAAGTCGCCTGGCCCATGGAGTCGTGCCGCAGGCATGCCGTGCGGTAGGCGGCCTGCAGCTCGGGGCGTATCTCGGAGAGGCGGCCAGCCTGCTCGTAGGCGAGCGAGAGGTAGAAGTATGCCCTCGCCGAGAACAGGTTCAGCGTCGGCCGGTTGAACGCCTTCAGCCAAATCACCAGAGCGTTCACGCACTCGAAGGCCTTGGCCTTCTCCTTCTTGTCGAAGAGGCACAAGAGCAGCTGGAGCACCGCGAACGCTTCGACTTCTGGCGGCAAGGGCTTCTGGATCTTCGGCAACTTCGCGTCCAGAGCCTTCTCCATGTCCGTGTCCTTGTCCTGCTCCTCCGAGGCCATCTCCACGTCGCCCGTCGCGGGCACCAGCGAAATGTAGAGTGCCTTGGAGGGGTTGCACTCGTCCACGCAGTCCTGCAGAAGAATCTGGAGCACCTCTGGCACCATTGTGCGCCGTGTGTTCGCAAAAGTCCGAATCACACGCCCCATCGCCCTCGTTTCGCCAGATGCCACGCACGCGCTGATCGTGCGGAGAGTTTGGCTCAGCTGCTCAATAAGGAGGGTCTTCGGGTCCTTTGGCGGTTCCTTTTTCTCTTCTTTCTTGGCCCCATCGTCATTATCCTTGTCGGCACTCGCATCTTTCGTTTCCACGTCCTTGGGTTCTTTCTTGTCCTCTGGCATGCCTGCTCAGGCAGTCTCGGCGCCTAAACACCAGGGGCACACAAACCGCGCCAGCCCACCGCAAAACAGGCTGCAAAGGGCTTGACCCGACGCAGCTTGAGCCAAAATGGCTACGGACGAGGAGGAGGAGGAGGACCATAATAAACCCAAGATTAATCAGCGACGCTGAAAGAAAGCCCAGCGCCATATGGGACTGTCATTTTGGCGAAAACCTTGTGCTGAAGAGGAACCGGCATCCTTCTGGCGCAGAATCATCAATACGAAAGACGATGCTCATACAGTTCAACGAGATTTCCAACGAGATCCAACTTTCAAAAAAGAATCGCCCCACATCCGTGCAAATGTTGCACAAGTTCTCACCTGTGGTAATCCGCCGGCACCCTTGCGGGGCCACCAGGCTGCGAGGATGAGGATTGCAGCTGCCTGTTCCAGTTGCAGTTTCCGATTTCCACTGTCACATTCCTGCTTTCTGCTTCTTTACTGTTAATTGTTGCTGTCCGCGCGAGGGGTGGGAACCCCAAACAAGTTTTTTTGACCACGCCCTGGGAGGGTTCTCAGAATTCGTGGGGGGGCGTGGGACACGTAAAAGTACATGATGCTCGCGTCTCCGAGGCCATAATCCCACGAACAGAACGCAAGACTTGCGTCCCCGAGGCCACAAACCCTCGCAAATTACACAATAGTCGCGTCCCCGAAACCATAAACCCACGAAAAGTACATAATAGTCGCGCCCCCGAACCCATAAACCCTAAACAATCTTATAATATTCGCGTCCCCAGGGCCATAAACCCTCGTAAATTACACAAGACTTGCGCCCCCGAGGCCACAAACCCTTGCAAATTATACAATATTCGCGTCCCCGAGGCCATAAACCACCGTAAGTTACCTCATATTCGCGCCACCGAAGCCAGAAACCCTTGTGAATGAATATTGGTCCTCGCGTGAAGTCCCGATATTGCTTCACGTCAACTTCCAGACATCCCAACACAGCTCTGGCAATTCCCATTCTAAAAGAGAAGGGCCGGCGGCATGGGGGCGGGGCGAAGCCCTTACGGAAAAACATAGAGGAAGTCTCAAGCAAAAACTCAAAATCTGAAAAGGAACCACCCTCGAGACGTGCAGTACCAAATGCATTGAAGCTTCCATCCTTTTAACTGTTGCAAGCTTTTACAATAAATTCGCGCGGGGCCACCATGGGAGTCCCATTATGAAAACGACCTGCGCTCCATGCTTGAAACTGTTGCGCTTTGGCCCGAAATGCGCGCGGCGCCAAGGCGAAAGCCCCACGTTGAAAAGGAACCGATCTCCATCCATCAAGCTGATGCAACATGTTCAGAAGAGTGGGGGCTGGGGGCAGGCGAGATGCTCATTGTGAAAACGACCCCCCCTGGATCTCTGAAACAGCTGCGAACAGGGCGAGGGCCCCATTTTGAAAACGACTCACCCTCCATCCCTGAAGCGCTTGCAGCATGTTGCAAAGCATGCGCGCGGCGCTACCACCCTCCATCCTTGAGAGTGTTGCATAGTGGTTTCACGAATGCGCGCGGCGCTGAGGCGAGGGTCACATTTTGAAAACCATAGCCCCCCCATTATTGAAACTGCACACTTGCATGACAAATGTGCAGGGGGCTACGACAATGGCTGTCTTGGGAACGGCCCGCCCTCCATCCTTGAAGCTGTTGCGAACTTCTCCTCGAAGAGGGAATCATGGACCTCCGCCCTAAGCTCGCGGCGGGAAACAGATCCATATCCGCGGCCTCGCGGTCCAGACTCCTTCGCCCCCCCCTCCTTCCTGCCCCCCTCAATCCCTCCACGCACCTGCTGGAGCAATCGTTCCCCAGCCAGATGTCTTGGCGAGCCCGCGCCCCGTGGAACCAGTGGCGAGGCGCGCGCCAGGCGCAGCATACGTATGGATATGGCTATCGTGGTGATGGTGGTCGTCGCAGCGGTGCTCGTGGCGGCTCATCCTCAGCGCGTTCATTGTGCAGCCACTGGGATTTCGACAAGCACGGCGATGCCTGCTGCAGCGTCTGCGGCGGCAGCTACCTCAACCACGGTGGCGCCAGCGACACCGAGGTGCCCAACACTACGCAGCTTGCCAACGACCTCGCGGAGTTGGCCAAGAAGTACCCTCAGATGGCTGGTCTTCTCGGGCAGGTTGGCCAGCGGGCCGCAGTGGAGTCTGTCGCGCCCCCTCCGCCTCCGCCCAGCGACAACGACTTGGAGAAGCAGGTTGAGGCCAAGCGCACCGAGCTGGCAAAGGGCGTGGAGGTCCAGTCTCGAGCAGAGAGGATCGCCCAGACTGAGGTGCAGTCCAGGCACGCTGCTGTCATTCGTCACCGCGAAGCTTTGGCCCAGGCCGAGGCTAAACATTTGCAGGCGGTACAGTATCTTCAAGAGAAGCAGGTCGCCCTCCGCGCGGCCAACGCCGAGAAGGAGTCGTTCGTGGCGGACGACTACCGACGACATCTTCGCGAGGAGGAAGATCGAGCGCGCGCTGAAGCACAGGGTGCATTCCAAGCCCAACAAGAAGTTGCTGCGGTGGCCGCAGCAAGAGCGCATGCCCAGGATGTTCCACATGGTGGACCTGCTGGTGCGCCGCTTGGTCGAGTTCCTCCTGCTGGCGCTGCCGGTGTCCCTCAGGCTGCGCCAAGCTCAGGCCCAGTGGCAGGTATCGGTGGCTCTGGCGGGCATGCTGGCGTCGGTCACGGTGGCAACGGCACGGGCGCTGCGCCGCCGCCTAACCTTGGAGGACCCAACGACGAGGCTCTCCAGGCATGGTGCAGCGACCACAATCAGAGGTACGAGTTTTGGAACGAGATGCGGCGCATGGAGAAGACCATTCAGTTTCAAGTACCTGATTCGGATATGGCTAGCGAGTGGGGTGATAATCATGTTGCTGAGTTGGAAGGACTCAAGAAGCGATCGTTGGAATCCGCCTCTCTGAGTCTGATCGGGATCGACTGGAAGCACTACTCGTACGCAAAGCCTCAGAGAAGGCTCACAAACGACTCAAGAGTATACGCGAGGACACCGCCGCCAGCTTTCGGCGCGTTCTGGGACAGATGACACCGCGAGCAGGACCCCAGTGGCGCAGGCACCCCCAGCAAGCGGCGGACGCGGACTTCCTGCAGCTGGCGCCGAAGGCGCTGGAGCTCCTGAGCAGCAGCCGCGTTTTTAACAGGCACACGGGCGGCATCGAAGCTGCTCACAGTATGGATTGTTTGTTCTGCAACACCACTGCGTGGAATGATGTGTCGCTACCGTTTGCTCAGAGTGTGAAACCCGAGTGTGACTGGTTCTTTTTGTAGAGCACCATCTTGTTGGAGACAAGACGAGTCTGGCCAAGCGAAATGCCAGGTAGATGAACTGGAGTCCCCATTTCTTGGATGCCGCCCCCACCCCAGGGGGCGGCTCTCACGGCGGCGTTGGTGCGTTGGTTTCCCGAGGCTTGAACTTTCGGAGATGTGTGCTTTCTGTTGGGTCCGTGAAAGATCTAAGCTCTGGCAGCCACTGGCTCTTCCTGGAATTGAAGGCGAGACGCGCCGTGATAGCCGTAGGAGTAGCTTACTTGGTGTCGGGCCTGGGTGTTTGTGGAGAGAATGTTGAACGTCTCCGTGAGACATCTGAATTATTTGGAACTCTGGCTATACCGTGGGTCCTCATGGGAGATAATAACATACCTGCTGAAGATCTGGATCTCCCAGGTATCCCTAGATTGGCCAGGGGTAGAGTGCTGATACCGCAGGGCATCGAGTTCACCTGCGCCCAGGGACGTGGGTCCCTCATTGATTTCGTCGTCGCATCGGAGGACATGGCTAGTTATGTGGCTGTTACCAAGTATAGCCTGTCCCCGTTCAAGAAACACGCGTGCCTGAAGGCTTCCGTGGACCATGCGGCTGTAGAGCAGCAGCTTCGGCGGCGCGTTAAAGCTTTGCCCTTCCCTGATTGCCCAGGTCCTGGTCTTCCGTGGGAAGTCTTATTGAAGCAGACTGTGGATGAAGGGGGCAGCGACCCCCCCCCCCTTTCCTTACTGACCATCGCCTACCTCATGCGCAGGACCATCTCTCACCGCAGCTGACGGAACAGCATTTGCTCTGGAGTAGGGCGACTGCGCGAATGTTTTCATCCAGGGCCTGTGCTGTTGAGATTGAGCCTCGAGTTTGCAACGAACGAGGAGTTTATCCGCATGGTAAGCTCTCCTATATTGGCAAGAGAAGCTTTTGTGGCCAGAGTTTCCAACAACCATCGTTATGCTTTCGGGCCCACGTCTCTCAATCTCTGTGTGAATACCGTTTATATCTGGCCAAGAATCCTGGACAAAGGTCTCTTGGGGCTCCCAGCTGTTGGGCGGTCTTGCTGGGCCGGTCCATCTACACTGGCCCCCTGGGGACCCTCGACCAGCTGAGTGGTGGATTGCTCGGTTGGCAAATGTTTCCCGAGACGCTTCTGAACTTAATGGGATCACTGGTGCATGCGCTGCGGCAGTTACCAAGGCTTGGACAGCAGCACGCGCTGCGTCCAAGGACGGCATGGAGAAGTGGCTGTTGAAGGCCCTACCGCGTGGAGCTAAACGAGTGCACTCCTGGCTCAAGTTTGGCCATGGAGCTGATCTTGAGTATCTGGTTACCCGCGGGGAGGTTAAGCAGCTCCCTCAGGACCGTATGGCATATCGACAAAAGGTTTGGGGCGGACTTTGGGATGCCCCCCTACTAAGCGTGAGGCCCCCTCTGGGGTCCTGGGTGTCCTGGGACCTGTTGCGCTGCGTGCGGCGCAGGAGTTAGACCCCCTTGACCCTCAAGACATTGTGAAGGCCTCTCTTGTGTTTCGTACTGAGACTGCGGTCGGAATGGACTGTTGGGCTCCTCGGTTGTTGGGCTCTTTGCCTCGTGCCGCTGTTGGGGTCTACGCTGATCTCCTCAACCAGTGTGAGTCGCTCATGATGCGGCCAACCCAGGTCATGCTCGGTCTTGTTGCCCTGTTGCCCAAGGCTGCGGACGCGGAGCGTCCAGTGTGTATGTTCCCTACCCTGCATCAGATTTATTGCAAAGCCAGTGGAAGGGACATCGACGACTGGAACGTCCAGCGGCCCAATTTCTGGGACACCGCGATTCGAGGACCCTCTGCTCTTCAGGCCGCCCT